TCGGAATCCAACCGAATCGACTTTTTAACATTTCAAAATTCGCCATTCCAACTGCTCTTCGAAATTCCTCGATCGGAATCTGACTGAATTCACATTTTAGGATTCCGAAATTCTGTATCTCGATCAAACTTCAAAATCCTCTGATCGAAATTGGAACTCCGACCACGACTGGTCGGATGGTTAACATCAGCATGACTCACTCATAGTCAGATACAAACCGCACTTCAAATCAAGCACGATAATCACAATCCAACATGCACCGCCCGACCAATCGCTATCGATAACCGACCTATTCTGTAACTCCCAGCGCGACCCCGGAAACCCCGAAGCCGCTGTCAAAAAATTAGCGCTCACGCACCCTGTGGTGCGAGCGCACCCACGTATGGGTAGTGAAGATATCTGCAAGTTTCGAAGTACCGTTACATGGATGAAACTAATGACAAACGGGTTGAATTGAATACTTTTCTCTACTTGTCTGGTCACACTCTTCGCATATGACAACAGTGCATTTCAATACTAATTGTAAGCAACAACCTCTCGTTGCACATACATTTTATCAAAGCATGCATCATTCTGAAATAAGGCTAAGTAAATTGTTTGTTGGACTTTATTCGCTGCATCAACATAACATGTCATGAAGGGGAGGCATCGGATTATATTTGCAAGTGATTCGTTTTAATTTCAACTGAAAATCGAAGACATCACAACGGTAATATGGAATAATATAAAAAACATACCAATCAGAAGTTTGTCGTAAGTTGATGCATGAAATCTTATCGACTGATGAAAAAGGGTATAAATGAAGAGGAAAAGGCATGCAAGAAGTAAAGAAACAAATGAAATACACACCTGTTTGCAGAATAAATCAAGGGAATGGAATCACTCAAATGTGAACGAGTTGTTCAGCACTTGCACAGATCAATTTTAGTTCATTTATGACACTACTATCCAAGGATAACTCAAGTAGCTCTGATATCGTCGCCTCTTCATAAATACGCATATCGAATCCTATATCACAAGCATGTACAAGAAAGTATCAACTTTTGATTAAGACAATAGCACTGACCAATTATTTCGGAGACACTAGCCCAATATGCTGGTTTAAGATGAGCACAAGTCATTACATCGATTATATCCAATTTCTTTCTCAATTTATCTGCTTCATTTCGTGCCTTTATTCAGTATCATTAACATGTATAATATACTAGTTGTAATAACTGCAATAATTTTGAAAAAGCAACCTGCATAATGAAATTCTTAGCAGATGGCTGCGTTATCAATGCTTTTTCTAGATTAGATAGTTGTTCCATGAAGTTGTTGTAATGATCAAGATAGAACGTTACATTCGCATCAGTTCGTTTTAGTGATAAGAATTCACTGAAATATTTCAAATTTCTTACAGTGACATGTCATTGATGACAGATATAAAATGAATGAATGATACGTTTGGTATTGGTGAAAGTGTTGATAAGCAACGAAAAGTTGCGATAGAGCGTTGACATGTGACGCGATTGAACGTATGGTCGAAATGTCTGTTCGTCGCACACCAACCGCCTACGATTCAAAGCGATCATACGAAAAGTGATAACGATCAGACAAAAACTACCGTTTGCAGACGGTTCAACGAGTTAACATCTGAGTATAACTGATCAGCGATCGGTTTCAGATGCTTCATAGAGTGGACATACTGATCCACTTGACCGATAGTCGAGAATGTTTCGATGAGTTTCAGTTGTTTCATCGAGTCATTGATCCTTTTTGATATGTTGTGCTCTCGTTCCTTTAGTATTGCAGTTGTAATCGTTTACAGGTGATTCAGTATGACTGATTGAATGGCACAATAGAGTTATGGTTATACCTTTACGAAAGATACGAACACCGCAATGTGACGATTGAAAAACGATTCGAAATTTTTGAATCGCGCCCGCAGTCTTTTCCTAATTTCAGCTACCTTCGATAGAAGTTCATGCTCTTCACTCTCCA